CATTCCCTTAAAGCAGTGGTTTTCAACCTTCCTAATGCTGCAATCCTTTACTACAGTTCCTCATCTGCAGTGACCCCTTCAACCATAACATTATTTTCATTGCTACTTCATAACTGTAATTTTGCTACTATTATGAATCATAATATAAATATCTGATATGCAGGATATCTGATATGTGACTCCTGTGAAAAGATCGTTTGACCCCCCCGCAGGGGATCCCAACCCATGCATTGAGAACCACTGCCCTAAAGCAACATGATGAACCAATGCTTTGCAGTCCCAGCCATGAAAGCTGTAGGCTCACATACCTCACATGTTATATCGCCACTTTTGTATTCATTCCTGTATTCATTACTTTCCTCGTTGCTACAACAAAACACCTAAAAAACACACCTCAAAGAAGGAAGGCTTGCAGTCGGAGGGACTACAGTTCATCAGGGCAAGAAGGCTTGGCAACGGGAGCTTGAACAGGCAAAAAACAGAGAGAAATGGATGCTGATGCTCAGCTGGTTTTCTTTTTATTCCATTCAGAACCCTAGACCGTGAAATGGTGCTGCACATGTTCAGGGTGGGTCTTCTCACCACACTCTAGAAACACACACTAGAAACACCCTTGTGGACACGCCCAGAGGTGTGTCTCCTAGGCAATTCTAAATCCCATCAGTTGTCACCAGAGACTGACCATCACACTGTCTCCTCAATAGAAGTTGGGCTACAAGCATGTGCCCTACCTTTCCAATTACTTCCTTCGGAAGTGTTGGCAAGAGGACAGGAAGTGGAAAATGCCACCCAGCCCTCTCACTGTTTAAGAGTTCAAAATAGAAACCCTGCCTTCTGATGTGTGCTGTGACCTATAAAAGCCCCCTTGTCCCCCTGCGTCCCAGTTTCTTCATGAAAACGGACTAAAATGATCTCTCAAGAGACGGAGCTACAGCTCAGTGTTACAGTGCATGCCTAGCATGGGTGAAAACGTGGGTCCCACCCCCGCACTCTCATGACCCTCCCCCAAGAAAAGAGATCTTCCAGTGTGACCCCCTGGAACAACCATGATTTCAGTAGCTTTGTCTCAATGGACAGTTTAGAGGAGCTGGTGATGTCAGGTGGGAGGAGGCATGAGAACTACGCCAGCTACCCGAGCTGAGACACCTCAGCCGCCCTTCAGCATCATAACCAGCAGTTACTGGAGATATTTATGTGCCAGGCACGGCACCGGGTACTTGACATTAGTTTACTTACTTTGTCCCTTTTCTTGTTTTTTTTTTTTTCTTTCTTACTCTTTACTCTTTGGGACTCTTGCCACCCAGCTCCTACATAAAGACAAACAGTGTCTTATTCTTTCTCATGAATTATTGGCCTTAGCTTGGCTTATTTCTTTCTCTTTTTTTTTCAGAGCTGAGGACCAAACCCAGGGCCTTGCGCTTGCTAGGTAAGCACTCTACCACTGAGCTAAATCCCCAGCCCCAGCTTGGCTTATTTCTAGCCAGCTTTTCTTAACTTATCCCATCTGCCTTTTGCCTCTGTGCTTTTATCTTCTCTATTTCTGTATTTCTTTTTTTCTTATTCCGTTGTTGGTTGTGTAACTGGGTGGCTGGCCCCTGATTTCTCCTCTCCTCTCTCTACCTGCCAGTCCCGCCTATCCTTTCTCTTGCCTCACAATTAGTCATTCAGCTCTTTATTAGACCAATCAAGTGTTTTAGACAGGCAAGATAACGCAGCTTCACAGAGTTAGACAAATGCAGCATAAAAGAATGCAACACATCTTTGCATCACTAAACAAGTTGTTTCACAGAAAAAACAAATGTAACACATCTTAAAATAATATTCTACAACAGTCCCTGTTCATATTACTTTTTTTTTTTTTTTTTTTTTTTGCTGTGATGAAATACCATGATGAAAGCAATTTAGGGAAGAGTTGACTTTGGTTTTTGGTTCCCAGTTTGAGGGAATAGTCCATCATGGCAGGGAGGTCACAGCAGTGGGACCTTGAGGCAGCTGGTAACATTGCATCTGTAGTTAGGAATCAGATAAAGCTGCCTAGTTCTAGTACCAAAAGGCCCGCCAACTAATGCACAGGCACCCAGCCCTGGCTCTACACCAGCATCAACCAAACAGTTTTCAGACATCCCAGTATGAGGCCAAATCTCAGGCCAACTAAACCAGGATTCCTGGGCATCAAAGCAAGTAAGAGTTGTCTGTTTTTTTATGTTGTTGTTTTGGGTTTGTCGGGTTTCTATTGCGAAGCTCTCCGGGTCATTCCCGTGTGCAGACCAAGGTGAAAACATCTGGCCACATGGAGACACGACTGTAATTTAAAAGCAAAGGCAAATGAGATGAGTAAAGGGAGGGTTCTATGGGATCTGGTGAAAGCCATCGGGGAGGGAGGTAAGGGTTTGGAGGGGGCTTCTGGTTCTGAGGTGTCAATGAGAAGACCATGCCTTATATAAAAACAGACTTCACTAGAGTCTGGCTCAAATTGTACTGCTGGCCACAACTATCAGAGCTGAAACCGATACTAACACATGTAACTTCTTGGTTTGTTTTTGGTTTTTTAGATTTTTTTTAATGTATGTGTAATGGGAGAGTATGCATGTGAATGAGGTGCCCGTGGAGGCCAGAGGGCATTGGATCCCCTGGAAATGGAGTTACAGGCTTGTGAGCTGCCTGACATGGGTGCTGGGAACCAAAACGAAACTCCAGTTCTCTGTAAGAACAATAAACACTTTACGGCTGAGCCAGCCCCATAACTTCCTGTATACTTTGGCTAGCCTGAGGTAACGGGGCATTGCTGCCTGGAAAAGCTGCCTCAAAATTAAATTCCAGCAGAGAAAAGTAGATGCCCACTCTCAGGGCATCCAAGAACGAGTCAGTGTTGGCCAGTTTCCAGATGCCAGCTGTATGCTCAGTAAAGTACGAGGGACATCACAGCAGAGTAAGTGTCACCTGCTCTGTTTTCCTCAGCAGAAAACTGAGACTCAGAAAGGGACTATAACCTGCCAACACTCTCCCACAGCGGTGAGGCTGGTAGACCATGGTGGAGCTGGAGTCCTAGGTCCCTCTGGCTCCATGTTCCCGTTCTGCACTCCACTCCTTACATTGATGGCACAGCCTTCTCCCATCACTAAAACAGATGATAGGTAGGTAGGTAGGTAGGTAGGTAGGTAGGTAGGTAGGTAGGCAGACAGACAGACAGACAGATAGAGATAAGCAGACAGATAGATGGTATATAGGTATGTAAGCAGATAGGCAGGCAGGCAGATAGCTAGATGGATGGATGGATGGATGGATGGATGGATGGATGGATGGATGGATGGATGGATGGATGGATGGACGGACAGATAGATAGGTGATAGATAGGTAAATGGATGAATGGATAGATGGATGGTTGGATGGATGGACAGATAGATAGGTAAATGATGAATGGATAGATGGGTAGACAGATAGATAGGTGGTAGATAGATAGATGGATGAATAGACAGATAGATAGAAGTTATAAGTAGAAGTGAGTGTCCTCCCTGTCTTATACCAAGGCCTCCCTCCCATGTAGAACAACCCCTGCCCATGGTTCTTAGGATCCTACCTCCCACATATTTATGCTCAGTATGGGTTTATTGAATAAAGTGAACGAGACAGATGCCTGAGGCTCAGCAAATTCAACCATTGTGTTCTAAGAAGATAGTAGTACAGTCTACCTAGAGCCAGGTTGTTGGCAGATACCAAAGGCCTCAGCCCTCCTGTCAAGGGGCTTAATGGGGAAGATTCTGCCGCATAATCAGAGGGAGCTGGAGCTATTCTGATGTCCTGGAGGGACAGATCTCAGTCCCAAATCAGTCCAGTACCTTCCACCATCCTGTGCTCCACCATGGAACCATGATCACCCTCTTAACATCACTTAGGTTCCTTAGCAGGTACCTCTGTCATCTTTGAAGAGCACATGTCCCTCTGGAGACAATCTGCCTTCTTGTGTAGCTTAGAAAGTGTACCCTCACCTCTGTCCCTTTCCCATTGGACTTGGAAGAAGACGGTGCTTTGCTTGGTCTTTTGAGGGGAGACATTCTGAACAAAAATGGCAGGCTGCAGCAGGGGATGCTGGGAGTTCCTGCATCTGGGCCTCACACCTCACTAGTTGCTAAGAGCACATGGGGGCCTCCTGGGTCAAGAGCTTCTGAGTTACAAGTGAAGTGAGTCCCAGCCCAGGCTCAGTCTCCGTTGCCTGCGTGTGATGGAATTGTGAACTTAGGAGTTAGGAGATTTCCTGAACTGGAAGAGTTTCAGGAAAGGGCTGCCAGGGAAGAGGGGAGTTAATATGAATGAACCCTAAATCTCTGAGGATAGGGCACATGCCACTGCTTTATGAGGAGCATGTACAGGCTAATCAAGTGACCCCAATTCTCTCTCTTACTTATCTTTATCAGACCTATTCTGTGACACCCCCCCCAGGGTTGCTATGTATACCAGAAGGAAAGAAGGTAACAATCGTCACCACACAGGGACCTTGCAGAAAGGTCTTCATCAGGGAAGCCAAGCAAAAAGCCTCACAGCAAGGCCTTCAGTTGACAAAGTGCTTGCCTTCCAAATACAATGACCCAAGTTCAATCCCAGCACTCACATTTAAGGAAAAAAAAAAAGAGCCAGGCATGGTGGTACATACTTGTAATGTCTATGCTTGAGAAGCAGAGTTAGGTAGATCCCTGGAGCTCTCTGATCAGCCAGTCCAGCCTATTTGGCAAGTTTCAGGGCAAAGAAATCCTGTCTCAAAGTGGGGGAACGTGGATGGAGCCCAAAGAATAACACCCAAGGCTATTCCAGACATGCACAGATGGCAGGGGTGGGGTGGGGTGGGGAACACTCCATTGCAGTCTTCTAACCACCCCCAATGAGAAGCATGGGGACCCTGTTATTTCCAGGGTCACCCTTGATCAAATATTCCCCATGCATCTGCCCAACAGTCAATCTGAACCCAAGATGGACACAAACCAACACGAAAATGATGTGAGTCAGTCACTGGGAGCCAGAGCAAACGGCTTTATTGTCCCACCCTGGGTACACTGTATTGAATTTCAGAACCTATGAAAACACACTCAGAAAGAAAGACTGGCCAAGGAACAGGTCCAGAAAAGAGACCCTGGAGCCCATTGAAATGATGAGGAGTCAAGTCCCGAAGGGCAACCAGCCTCAGTTGACAGGGTCTAAGAAACATTAAAGCATGCAGGGAGCCCTCTCAGGGCCTGGGCCTGGGTTCAGCATGAATGGAGAGATCTGGGCTGTAAGAGTTAGAGTTGGCTAGAGGCCATTTCAGAACCCAGAAGGCAATGGCCTTGACCCTCTGGATCTGTCCTTCTCAGAACCTGCCCCCTGGGCAGGGAACACAGACAGGGCGGGGGCTGTTGGTTGCACGGGCTGCTCCGGAGCTGCAGGAGACTGCTGGAAGGCAGGGGAGGCATGATTTGGAGGGTGAGTAGTCAGGGGCACACGGGTTGCAGGGAAGCCTGGGAGACAGAAGAGAGTCGGTTACTATCATACTCCAGTCCGATAACACTGAACAGATCCTAGACTATACAAATCCTGTCCCCTAGTTTTACCCAAGGGGGAATAGGTACTCAGAGAGGAAAACAGAACCAGCCAGAGCAAACGAATGAGTTTGTCCGAAGATCAAAGCTAAACCCCCAAGGTTCCTGAATCAGAGTATGTTCTTCCTGGGCACCATGTGGTCTCCCCAGAACTTTGGAGAGGTGAGATCATGCAGCCATACTCACTTGCTGTCCTCACTCTCCAGCAGGCCCCGGTACGTGTTGATCTCACACTCCAGCCGGGCCCGGACGTCCAGCAGCACCTGGTACTCCTGGTTCTGACGTTCCAGGTCAGCCCGGATCTCACCAAGCTGGGACTCCACGCTGCCGATCATGCACTGCATCTGGGCCAGCTGGGAGCTGTAGCGGGCTTCTGTCTCTACCAGGGTGGAGTCCAAAGCATCTCTCTGGGAGGACGAGGGTTGTGGGAAGAGGGCCAGGTTAGAGGCCAGAGAACTATCAAGGAAGATCCACTGGGTCTCAGTGGGACTTTGGAACACCAGAATGGAAGCTCAGAGAGTCACTGAGCTAGGAGAAACCACAGTCGAACACCACTGAAGACGAGCTAGCCCAAGCTCCTGTAGCCCCTTGATCTAGACAGCATTTTCTTCCTAGCAGTACCTCTGGACAACTAATAATTACACAAAAGTAGATCTTACATAAATAAAGGAGTCACTACCAGGACATAGAGGAGGTTACCACAGACCCTCTTGTCTTTCACCACAAGGGCAGTTGTGATGTGTTTCTGGCCTTCGCACCCTCCTCTCTACACAGGGAAGCCCTGAGCAAAGAATTTGAACTCTAGGAATCAGTGTGTATGGCCACCGTGTGGAAGCTGGGGGTTGCGTGCCTCCAAGCTTGGCTCAACAGCTGTTCTACCCACCCCAGTGCTTACCATGCTCTGCTGGGCCTGCAGCTCAATCTCTAGGGAGTTGACTGTGCGTCTCAAGTCAATGATGTCTGCCTGGCAGGACTGCAACTGCTCCGAGCTGGACACAACCTGCTGATTCAGCTCCTCGGTCTGAAACATACCCACACACAGGATCTGATCAGGAACCCTGAGGTCTCAGCTTCAAAGGTTACAGAGATCACTTGGAACCATGAGTATGATGAATCAAGGACAACCTTCCAGATGACCCACTCCAACCCATTCCTGCCATGCTTGCTGGAAAGACCGCATGGTTGCAAGATGGAGTCAAAACAGTTGTAAAACCATCTCTCTGGCTTCTGATTCAGAGCCCCAAGGACACTTGTAGATGACTTCACCTCTGCTGCACTGACTGCTTCCAGGTACCTACCTGGGTGTCATACCAGTCTTCTGCATCCCTCCGGTTATTCTCCACCAAGGTCTCATACTGGCACCTCATCTCCTCCAGAACACGGTTCAGATCAACAGGTGGAGCAGCATCCACCTCAACGTTGAGCCGATCGCCAAGCTGGCAGCGCAGTGAGTTCACTTCCTGTGACACAGATAGGGTCTGTTTCTAGGTGCCTGCCTTAGTACCCTATGCTGACCTCCTCTCCCATGCTCACCTCCTCCCCCGTGCTCACCTCCTCCTCCATGCTCACTTTCTCCTTCATGCTCACCTCCTCCCCCATTCTCACCTCCTCCCCCATGCTCACCTCCTCCCCTCATGCTCACCTCTTCCCCTCATGCTCACCTCCTCCCCCATGCTCACCTCCTCATGATTCTTCTTGAGGCAGAGCAATTCTTCCTTCAGAGACTCCACCTGTGCTTCCAGGTCAGCCTTGCACAGAGTCAGGTCATCCAGGATCCTGCGCAGACCATTGATGTCCGCCTCTACCAGCTGCCGCAGGGAAACCTCCGTCTCGTACCTGGAGACACAGAGCAAGGCACCCAAACCTGCAATCCCATTTGTATCAAAGTCAAGTCCAACCCCAGACTAGCCTGGTGCTGTAAGCTCTGCCCTCAGGCCTCAATGACTGAGTGCAGCTGAAACCCTGAGACCAACCATCACCAGCATCCAGCTATATCAGCCCCAGTTCGGGGACAAGCAGGACCACTCACTTGGTCCTGAAGTCATCAGCAGCCAGCTTGGCATTGTCGATCTGCACCACCAGCCTGGCATTCTCTGCCTTGCTACAAAGCGTCTGGGGACACAAAGAAGTGATTTCATGTAAGAAAGGATTGTTCTATTGGTGGGAGCTTCCCCCCGAGTCTGGCAAGAGCTGCCCATGGAAGGAGGTACATTCCCATCCTTGGATCTCAACAGCGTGGGGCTCCGTGAGAGATGACAGCTGATGTAAACCCTCAAGATCCCTTGCAATGTGGTGTGCCTATGATGTGTAGTCAAGGGCTAGAGAGAAGGCAAAGGCATATTACAGGAAATACTGCAGCGTGAGGGAATGACCATTCCTCCCACCTTCCTGTTCCCCAGGCCTGCTGTGGGTCCAAGGCAGGTCACTGCTAACAGGTGTGCTCTAGTTCTCTGGTCACAAATGCTCCATCTGAGCCCTTCAGGAATGAGGACTTACAGAGAAGGCATCTTCTCTGCTTTACAGATGCAGAAACCAAGCTTCACTAAATACACCAAATCCGTGTGGTTTGGCTTTTTTAAATGAGGACATTAAAATTCAGAGAGATGGACAGTGATAGCAAAGTTTACATGGCCAGTTAGTTAATACACTCCGTATTCAAGTTCTGAGTCTACTAATTGCCATCTGGGTCACTTAATAAGCCTGACCTTGAGTGTTCTCATCTGATAGGCTAAGATCATCGGGGAGAATAGAAGAGGACGTAGATATAAATAAGCTCTGTTCCCTCTAAAAGTTCCCCATGGGATCCAGGCTATTATCACACATGTTCTGGCTTCTAGACCTGAAGCCACTCCAAACCACTCACCTTCTTCTGGAGCTCCTCCATGGTCCGGAAGTAAGACTGGTAGTCGGGACACATATAGGGCACCTGCTGCTCACACCACTCTCGGATGCGGCTCTCCAGGCTGGCATTCTCCTTCTCCAGCTGCCGCACCTTCTCCAGATAGCTGGCCAGGCGGTCATTCAGGACCTGCATGGTCTCCTTCTCATTGCCAGTGAGGATGCCCTCCCCAAACCAACCTCCACTGGTGCCATAGCTGGTGGCAAAGCCTCCCGTGGGGAGGCAGAGAGCTGGAAGGCAGCTGGAAACCCTGTAATTGTTTCTACCCAGGCCAGCAGAACACACAGAGAAACTCCGGGCTCCCCGGGAAAGACTTGGCAGCTTGCAAGAGCTGCTGGAGTACATTGTGGTCATTCGAGTGGAGCCCCCTCCAGCTTTACCTGGGCTCTTGAGGGATCCAGAGGAGAAGCTGGCCTTGAGGCATTTGGAAGCCATGGCCACAGCAGCCCAGTAAGCGGTAGATCTCTGAGAGTAGACACCTCAACACAGAGAAGCAGCTCCCTAGCCTGACTTTATACCTCTGCCCCAGTGGGCGTTGGTTGGCCCTTACAAAGTCTTTTCTCCTCATTAAAGTTAATTCCACTTTCTATCAAAACCTCTCATTAGCCTGTTATTTAGCTACCCATGGACATATCCTGGCCTCATAAAACAGAATCCCCGTTGGACAAGTGGATATGGGGAGACTCACCCCCACAGCCCTACACCCTGGGAAGACCCAGTCTGCATCAGCTCTTCAAAGGGGCCTGTCATCAGAACCCAGACCTCAACCTCTTTGTTAAGCAGGCGTGGGAGTCCAGCCACCCATCTTGTCTTCTTAGTCTTGTCTCTTTTGATGGACAGTCTGGGGAGGGGGTAAAAAGCCTGCAAGTGGCTAGAAGGCAGGGGTCTTGTAGCTTGGGCAAACATAAAAGGCTCTTGAATAGACCCAGAAGATATGGCCATGGTGACCAACTGTCCCAGGTTCCTCTGAACTATTGTAGTTTTAATGTGATCCAGGGAACTTTTTGTCCTGAACAAAATGGGACAGTTAGTAACCTTCAACCAAAGAGAACCCTAACAGACACTCCCCTACTTCCTTGCCAGAAGTTCTGTCCTGGTTACATAGCCTCAACTCTAACCAAAATAATTCAAAGTCAGTTCCTGACCCTGTGAGAGCTGGAGCCATGTTTGGGAGGACAGGACTTTTCCAGCCCAGGTAGAAATGGAGGATTTCCTTCTAGTTGCCTGAATTGGCAAAGGGGGATGTGAGTGTTTGATTTATACATTTCCTCAGCAGGTACAAGGAACCTGAACCTCCGAGGCTCATCTCTGCTCTGGAAACTGGCTGACCCAATGCCTAGAAGGTTTGATGATGAGACATCCGACCAGTCCAGTATGTGAACAAGTGAGCCCTGGAACCAGGACTGAGGAGAGACGGGGATGGGGATGGAACGCCGTAGGTGAGAGCCTATGGGACGTGCCTTCTGCGCTGTCCTGTGGTTTGGGATTCTGCTTACTCTTCTAAGAATACTTGCTATCTTCCTACTAAGAAGCAGCCATGAGCTGAGACCAGCAGTGAGCCAGGTATGGTGCTCAGCACCTTCCCACGTGTACTCTCTAGAGGCCTGAACTCATGGTCCCCATCCTGGAGCTGAAGACATCAAAGCTCAGATATAATAAGAACTTGCTTAGCATCTCCAGCTTGTGGCTGGCAAAACCTGGGATTCTGTCCCAGGCTGCTTGATACGATAGTCTATGGAAAACAGAAAGGAGAGAATTAGAGAAGATCCACAGGGCATGAGGTTCACACCCTGGGATCCCAAGAAAAGCAACCTGACCCGGTAGTGACATCTGAACTTGTGGGCTCGAATAGCCCTACCATGAAGCACCTGACTCCACCTCTCAGGGTCTCCCTCGGTTTCTTCTTCTGTAATGAGAACAGATATCCATCCACGCCTGCACCCTGGGTCGCCTTAAGCATTAACTGAGCTTGGAGAAGCTCAGACAGCACCTGCTTGTGGCAAGTGCTCCTTGTGGCAGCAGCCAGCCCCTTCACAAGGGCAGTCTTGTTGAACTTGAACTTGGTGATGCCGGGCAGCTGTCATTAAGGAGTGGGGACAGATTCTAGGCACACAGTCCACTATCCCGTGAGCCAGGTAAATAGGTTTGGAACCCTCAGATATAGAACCCCCATGAGTCACTGCACCCTTCCCACCCTCTGGGACCCGGTGTGATCAGCACCCACCCAGCATAGTCCTAGGGTCTCACTGGTTGCCTCAGCCTCTCCTCCCTGAACCGTCATGCCTCGGTGCATAGATGCAGCTGAGCTGAGAGCCTGGTCGAGCCTCCTGGAGTATTTGTATTTCCCACCCATCCCCCTCCTAGGCCACAGTCTCCTGGGAAGGTGCTCTGGGCTCATCAGGGAAATTCTGAAGTCGTGTGGCCCAGAGAAGACCCGGGAATTCTGTATTAATCCACTCAAGCCTGGGGGTCACATGACTTCCTTGGTGGGGCTTTACTAAAGCCTGGGCTTCCTAGATAGGGACCAAGGGCTGTTGGCAGCTTTGAATACTCCTCCAAACCACCCTATTAATGGCAATAGCAGCGGGGCCCTCCATCACCCACTGAGCACCCAGAATGTGCCAGGACCTGTGCTCAGTCTTTCTACACATCCTCTCACTCAGTCCTCCCAGCATCCTCATGAGGCATGAGATTGGCACTATCAGCAACCCTACTGGATAGATGAGTACTTGCGGTGCTTTAGGAGCCAGCCAAGTAATAGCAGAGGTGGCAGATACGACTCTTGTGCAAAAGTGTGCAGTCCCCTTAAATTAAACCCCCAGCGCCACCTACACCCTGCATGGATAGAAGGATGCCAACTCCCACAGAAATCCCAAGGTGGGGCAATGAATAGTTTATGCAAGGTCCACAAAGGCTCAACTAGGAGATCATAGCCCTGCCCCTCCAGTGACTCCAGTCCTCAGACCTGTCGCATTGCCTCTGGGGGCTCAGTCCCAGCCATTCCTTCTCCTTAGAGCTCACAGCCCTCTCCAGTCCTGCTGTGCCCACCCAACACTCAGAACCCATGCAAGTGACTGGGAGAGACTCCCTTTGTCCCCTGTGACCTGCCAGCCTCTGTCTTGTGCTCCAGCCCCATCTTCCCAAGGAACCGCCCTGGGGACTAACCTCATACTTCTTTTGAAACACCCCTGCAATGTCAGAAATAGTGAGGCCCTTCTAGATGTCTCCGAGTGCTCCAATGAATGCGAGAGTGAGAGCGTGAGTGTGTGAGTGAGTGTGAGTGAGTGTATGAGGGAGTGACTGAGTGAATGAATGGACTGTGTTACATAAAGAAACAAAGGGTTTTGGGGAGAAGAAAGCATAGAATGGAGAAAAGGAAGAAGGGAAGAAAGAACGAATGACTGGAGAAGAGGGGAAGGCATCCTTCTGCTGGTCCCACTCTCAGAGATAAGGAGGCAGAAACTCCAAGACAGGAACCAACTGCACCTGCCCCAACAAGCCGGGTCCCCTAGCAGAGAACAAAAGCCACCTGCTCAAGGAAGACGGGCCCGTGAGGCAACTCAAAGGTGTGGCTGAAAAGTCCTGATAAGATGTTTTTAGATAATAAGATTTTTTAAAAACAGATAAGTAATGTTTTCAGTGCTATGAAATAGTCTATAAACTGGGCTGCTCCATTTCTTCCCCCACTACCCCTTGGAATTTAAAAAACTAAAATAAAGTAAAATAATTGCCTAGAACCCTATCTCAGCAGGAATTAACGTTGTTTAGAAGCCTCCTGATAATCTTTACCCTCAAGGTCTCTGTCCAGATGTGCTCCACGCTGTCCCCAGAACATGGCATGAACATGTTCAGCCATGCCCTAAAATGCCTTCTCCCTTCTTGCCTCCTTTTTCTGCCCATCCTTGAAGGTTTCTGCCAAATCCAAATCTTCCCGGAACCCTTCCCTAATCACGCCGACACTCAACAATCTCCCCATGCTGGCAACTCAAACCCCTGTCCTGCCCTGACTCTTGCTATGCCCGAACTGATCCAGGGAGTGAGAGAAGGTCTGCAACTGGGTGACTGCTCCATGGGAGCCATGCCTGTTGTTCACAGTTGATGCGGCCAGTCTCATGTCCCTGCTCCTCCCTGACTGAGCCCTGGTGTGTATTAGCACAGAATTTACTGGATGGGCTGGGGAGGTCTTCACGCCTTACCTTCTAATTTATTCACTGAAGCCTGAGTGACATACCAGATAGTGTGTCTAGAAAGTAGAGACTAAACTGACCACCTTGGAAGTAAGTGTCCTGTGTCATCTCATCTCTCTCCTGATGTCATTGAGAGAGAGAGATGAGGTAGGAGTCAAAAGAACCAAGTCCTGGGACTTTCGATTGTTGTGCCGCGTTGCACTCCAGTGTGTCCGTCAGTGGCCTCAGTCAAGGGTGTGTGGGTGAGGTTGAGCATTGGAGGGGTTCCTTCACTAACTCAAGTGCTCTGAAGGATTTAGTAAGAATTGAGGCAATGACACACGACCAAAGCAAGTACTCACAATCGCACAGGGCTGTTTGAGCGTAGCCCAGAGACTCTTCGTTTTCATTCAGATCAACTCTGCTAAGCACCACATTTTGAGTGCTGACACACATCATCCCATCAGGGCTCCCAGAAGCTCCAGTTCACAGATGGACTGTTGAGACTAAACGAGTCCCTGAGCATGCCTGGGCATAAGTTGGAGAGCTACAAAGCAGCCCCAGCCAAGACACTTCTGTTCTACCTGTGAACATCTCCTCCTAGGACCTAACTGGGGAACTTCTGCTGAACCTCTGGCTTCCCCATGTTTGGCTTAGTCACCAAATATATGGTAGCGTTGGCAGCACTACCTTGGCCTCAAGGAAGAGCCCAGAGGCAAAGCAGAAGAACTGGGTGATAGCCAGGACTCAGTCCCTCACTGCTGTGTGATCTGGTGTAAGTCACTCCCGGCTCTAGGTCTGTGTTCTGAACTGAAGAATGGGTCAAAAGGCAGAGAGGCCAACAGGGAACCTCTGACTTCTCATAGACCCTGCTTCTACTAGCCCAGTTCAACTCCATACACAGGTCAGCACAGCTCAGCCGGGCAAATCCATACGCCCTAAGCTCCACCTCCCATAGCAGTCTGGCTGTCCCGGGCACCACACTGTCCCCACCACCCTATACTTCCTGTAATTAAAATATGGGAGTTCATGCTGCCTGTTACCACAAAGGCCAATGAATAGAAATGGGAATCCAACCCATGTTGTGCTTTATTAGGAGAGATGGTAATCGGAAAAGGTAATGGGTTTATGTCACTCAAAAAAAAAAAAAAAAAAAAAGGCCTCTCATCTCACCTCCTGCCAGCAATTCATAGGACATGGGACCGGATGAGAGACTAAAAGCTGTCCATCACTCTGGAGCTCGGTCAGGCTGTCAGATGCATTCCTGAGACTTGTGATGTCTGTGCCTCTATCATCTCAGTACTCCCCCCTCGTTCTGTGGATGTCTGTGCTCAGGGACTTCCTGAAATTCTAAGTCTAGTGGCCATCTGCCATCATCAACTTTGTGCTCCTCCCGGGACATCTGAGCTGGGGGTGGGAGTTGTTAGGACAGACAGACCATTAACAGTGCATACCTGCTAAGCTCCTAACGTCTATTCTGGGATCCTCTGTTACTCTCATATCCCCATATTAGAAACATGGATTTGCCTGACTCTGTCTTCACCTCCCAATTCACCCCAACTCCCCCCCTCCATGGTGTGGTTGGCTCAGGCTAGGCCACCTGAGACTGGCACTCTCTGGTTGGCCCTGGGACTCATCTCTAGTGAACTGAACCATGCTGGGAAGTGGGGGAGACAGAAGCTCGCCAAGGGAGAAGGTAGGAAGGAATGGGAGGTGACCACTGATCCCACCAGGCCTGCTAAAGAAGGCTGGAACCTTTGCATCTTCTCTGGCTATCATAGGGTAGGTGCCTACAGGCAAAGCCAATCTGGGAACGATGACCGGCACCCACCAAGATTGAGGTGGGGGTCAGTGTCTGCTGACCAGAACCTGAAGCATCTCCAATATTAAATATTTTCGATCACTCAGAGACTTTACTATATCCCATGCCCAAACACCCCTAGACACTAACCACGGGAGAATCAACAGAGTCAGCCGGGATCAGGTTTGCTATGCCAAGAGAACACTTTATTGGGTATGTTTCCAGGGGAACCTGGTTTGCATGGCGTAAAAAGCACAGTTAAGACCAGAAACAATAGATGAATTTTAGTAGAAAAACCTGCTAAGCAAGGAGGGCCCTAGGGAGGTGCAAAATCATTTAGCTGCCAAAAGCCACAAGGCGTCCTCCTTCCTGTGGCCTAGGCCTCACTTGTGGCTGGTCACAGTGCACGGGGCACCACGTGCTCCCTGGAGGAGACAACTCTTCCATCTCTGATCTCCTCGGTGATGGTACGGATCTGGGTGCTGACCTGAGGAGCCGGGGTGCAGGGTCCAGCCGGGGTGCAGGGTGTAGAAGGGGTGTAAGGAACTCTTACAACAGGCTTGCATTCCGTGGAACAAGGGTGGGCAGGAAGCCTGAAGAAATGAAATCACATATGATGCACTTGGCACTGGAGCCTTAGACCGATTTAGGGAATCATGCTGGACAGTAGTAACAACAATGAATGATATCAGAGCATTTCAATGACTCTGAAACCCCAGGGAAGGGAGGGTGGAGCTGTAAGAGGGAAGACTAGGAACTTCCATCAAAAAAGATGGTCAAAGGTGGGCTTGTGCCTCGGCCTAGCATGTCCCCTCGAACATTTTTCAAAGCGCGGGACTAAAAGGAATCTTCAATGGCTTTAGCTTAATTACCTTCATCTTTGTAACAACCACTCAGCTCTGAAAGTGTGTCAAGCCCTTTCTCAGCCCAGCTCTGGGAGTCCCAGCATCACTCACTTGCAGTCCTCGCCCTCCAGCAAACAGCGGTAGGTGGCAATCTCTGACTCCAGCCGGGCCTTGACATCCAATAACACCTGATACTCATGGTTCTGCCGCTCCAGGTCACAGCGAATCTCAGCCAGCTGGGACTCCACGTTGGTGATCAGACACTGCATCTGAGCCAGCTGGGAGCCATAGCGGGCCTCTGTCTCGGCCAGGGTAGATTCCAGAGAATTCCGCTACAGTGGGAAAGAGGAGCGATTGAGGAGGAGGAATTCCACCCTAAATGACCCACTCTCCTAGCATTCGCACACAGTTGTGATTAGGCCCTGTGACAGCGTGATGATGGCCAGCACATTGGTAAGTCAGAGAGCCTTCAATGAACTGTGGCCAGTCAGCTGGGCAGAGACCACCCACCATGCTCTGCTGGGCCTGCAGCTCGATCTCCAGGGCGTTGACTGTGCGTCTCAGCTCGATGATCTCTGTCTGGCAACACTGCAGCTGCTCGGAGCTGGACAGCACCTGCTGGTTCAGCTCCTCGGTCTATGGAGGAGAGAGAGCAGAACAGGACGAGACCTGGTGTCTCCCCTCCACACAGTGACCCCCCCCACCCCACAGCCTACAGTCCTGGATGGCCAGCCCCACCTGAGTGTTGAACCAAGCCTCCACATCTCGGCGGTTATTCTCCACCAGGGTCTCATACTGGCATCTCATGTCATCCAGTATCTTGTTGAGATCCACTGGAGGGGCAGCATCCACCTCCACGTTCAGTCGGTCCCCAAGCTGGGAACGGAGTGTGTTGACTTCCTGCAGTGACAGACAAAACACGATGGCACAAGGCTGTGAACAAGTTGCTGGCTTGGTAGGTTCAGTGACCTGGGTTCAAATTCCCCTTCCTCCCCCGGGTACCGTGATAGAGGAGAGCTGGCCTCTTGGAACGTGGCTCTCCCCATTGGTCTATCTATACCTAGCCCCTTCTGAGGAATGAGGGCATGACACACCAAGAAAATAGAATTATTTTCAGACTCCATAATCCAAATGGAGTTGTAATGTCATGGGCCAGGGTGTAGTCTCTGCGTGACTGTAGGCAAATGACCTCACATCTTTACGACCATCTTCTCAGCTGTAAAATGGAGCTTACAGTGGGCTCTCACTCTTGGAGTTACTGTGACGGTGAAATAAGATATAAAGGAATGCATGTACTTCCTGCCATACAATAAGCCCAGCGGCCAGCAGGGACTCCTCGGCTGGATGGGGATCTTGGGGTTCAGGTGGCAGCAGCCTCACCTCTTCATGGTTCTTCTTGAGACACAGCAGCTCCTCCTTCAGAGACTCCACCTGAGCTTCCAGGTCAGCCCTACACAGGGTCAGCTCATCCAAGATCCGGCGCAGGCCATTGATGTCCGCCTCCACCAGCTGCCGCAGGGACAGCTCCGTCTCATACCTGCACACATAGAACCCTGCCAAGTCTGCAGCCAGGGAAGCCATGGGCCAAACTGCTGTGGCTAACTTGGAGTCAGAAACACAGTGGTCCTCTCCCTTGTCCCAGGAGGAATCCAGGGCCTCTGCCATGTCTTCCCATTCACAACTGTATCTGGCTGTATTCCCACCTCACCAGTTCCCAAAGCAGGGAGCAGAGTTTGACAAAGAGCAAACCTCCCCTGGTTGGGCCACTCACTTGGTCCGGAAGTCATCAGCAGCCAGCTTGGCATTGTCAATTTGCAACACAAGCCTGGCGTTCTCAGACTTGGTCAGTAAGATCTGAAAAACAAGAGGTTTTCCCTGAACTGGGGAAGGCCCCGCCATGTGAAGCCTGTGGGGTGGGGAGCCCAGCTCACGGATGCCTCTAAATATAGGTGACATCTTCAAATATCCAGACAAGGAGGGAGAACAGGCCCCAGGAGGGATACCACATCACCGGCCCCATTGGTCCTGGCTTCTGTAGCCTTCAGGGTAGCCCAGTAGGATAGATCAAGGTGAGGTTCTGATATAGCAGAAGTGGGTTCTGATTCTGGATCCCACATTCAAGTTGTGCGACCCTGGACAAGTTGCTGAGCCTCTCAAAATTCAACCCCCTTATCCGTTAGATGGGCGTAGTCATACCCCTATCTCCAGGATGAAGAATAAGTAAGCCAATGGCTAGGAAGGTGTCAGGTTCCGTACTACACCTAGTGGGGACTAGGGACACGATCCTCCCCTCCCCCCCCTATGACAATGAGGGAAGGAAGAACAGCTGGTAACAGGGTACAGAGACCAGCAGGGAAGCCTGGGTCCCCAGGGAACCAAGCCCCAGAGAGTGGAGCTCTCCTTCTAGAAGGCTCCCCTGCAAACTTCAGAGACTGGCTGAGTCTTGGAATGGGAGGCTTCCAGGAGCTGCGTGGCCAGCTGGGAGAGGCCCTGGCCCGTTACCTTCTGCTGCAAGTCTTCGGCGGTCTTAAAGTAGGACTGGTAGTCCGGGCAGATGTATGGGACCTGACACTCGTACCATTCCCGGATGCGGCACTCCAGCTGCGCATTGTCCTGCTCCAGCTGCCGCACCTTCTCCAGATAGTTGGCCAGTCGGTCGTTCAAGACCTGCATGGTCGCCTTCTCGTTGCCATTGAAGCTGCCCTCGCAGAACCAGCCCCCGCTGCCGGCGAAGCCAGAGGAGTGGCACCCAGAGGACAGATAGGGGCCCGGCAAGCAGCCCCCAAGGCCGGAGAAGCCTGTCCTGAAAGAGGACATGGGCCCCACAGTGCCAACCAAACTAGGGGCCCTGCAGGAGCCCATGGAATGGATGGAAGACATCCGAGAGAAGCTGCTGGTGGTGCCACAGAGGCCCCTGGCAGACCCGGTGGAGAAGGTCGGGGTGCAGATCTGGGTGGCCATGACGCTAGCGAAGAAGGTGGCAGCTTAGGCAGGAGCTCAGGCTGTGGACTCTCCCGGCCTCCCTGCAGCGCTTATATACACTCTCCATGGATGGGGTGGTGGCGTGTTCCAGGTCTTTAGCTCTTGGGAAAGCCCTCTCCAGTCCCCGAAAGCCTATCTCATTAGAATGTCATTTTTGCTATCCATCAGAATGTCTTTCCTTGTAAAAGAAAAAAAAATTGTTCAATTGCGTTTGCTAAGTCAGGACTCTCAGCCATCGTCATTTCCTAGCAGGCTAAATTTTATTACCTCTTCAAAGAGTCTTTGCCCCAGATCTCATAAACTGGGAGTGGCCTTGCATATGACATTTGGTTTCTGTCCTCCCTGCTTGTCTTCCCCTGGGGAGCCCAATCTGTCCGTCTGTCACCTGTACTTCCACAGGTGTTCATCTATGCCTGGGCCACCGGAGCGACGAAAAGGGAGTACAGGATATATAGTGGAATATTATTCAGCCATGAAGAAAAAGGAAAGTATAGACTTTGCAGGGAAAGGAATGGGGCTGGAAGGGACTGTGTTGAGTGAGGAGACTCGGGTTGAGACAGACAAGCCCCACACAGCCTCTCTCATATGTGGATCCCCACTTCTAATTTTTACATGTGTGTATTTACGTTGGAGTGGGTGTAGAGGCCAGACAACTAGAAAGGGACCCATAAAAGAGACTTTAAGGGACAAGGGTGAAGGAGGTAATAGAAGGTGTGATATGGATAGAGAAATGGAAAAGTGAGGTGAAAGGGTGAGGATGGGGAGCAGAGAGATGAGGGGAAAGCAAGTGAGGAGCAGAGTCAAGCAAAACGAATATTATCTGTTTATATAGAAACCGTCCATAAGGAACCCAATGCCTTGTAAGCTAATTTTAAAAATAAAATAAGGACCAGAAAGATGGCTCAGTGGGCCTCTGAAGCACTTGCCTGACAACCTGAGTTTGATCCCTGGATCCCAAAGTAGAAGGAAAGACCTGATTTCTGAGGGATGTCCTCCGACATTCACACACACACACACACACACACACACATTGTAGCATGGGCATGTCTGCACTCACACACACATATCATACACGTACACCACAATAATAATAATAAATAAATTTGTTAAAAGAGAGAGTGTGTGTAGGCCAGTGAGTTGGCTTAGTGAGTAAAGGCGCTTGCAACCAAGACTGATGACCTAAGTTCAATCCCCAGGCTCACACGGTGGAAGGGAAGGACCAACTACAGCGTTTCCCTTTTATCCTCACACACGTACCAGGTTTGCATGCACCTGTGTACACATATACACACAAAATTTATTTAATGTAATTTTTAGATTTTAATTTAATAAAATCAAAAGGGAACTAGATGTGGTGGTGTCCCTGTGGTGTTGGGGATTTTAACTCTTCCAATTGCTCCTCATAACAATCATGGATCATGCCCAGCAAACCTCCACCAACTGCGGTCCATTGCCTAAACACTCACTCACAGGAATCAGGGGGCCAGTGCTAATACTTCGATCTGAAACCAGTGCTCTTAGACCCCAATTCAGGGTACCTAGAATTTAGGAACAAGAGCTCAACATTCCGATACTGGCTCCATCAATCATTCACCCTGTGACACTGAGCATGTCACCCCTCTGGGATCCTTAGTGGCCTGGTGGGAACAGTAGAGATCACTGTGCTGTTCTGCCTACTTCACACAGACATGAAGAGGATCCAAAGACAGCTGCAAATGTGTGCTGAAAGCTCCTACATACTTTAGAAGTGACGGTTAGTCAAAAAGAAGTCTTTAATGATGATTTATGGTAAGACAGCAAAGGCTCATGGGTACAGGCACTCTGCTGGAGTTGCTGAGATCTCTGTGCCCTCCCCCCAGGTACAGTTTGGTGCCTGTGGGGGAGGAGATCCCCCATAACCAATCCTTCAAACAGTTCATGAGCTGGTTATCATGTAATCCACCTGTTTGGAGCTATGGGCAGGGCTGGAAGACCATTTCCCTTGTCGTCTTTGTCTTCCCTAAACCTAAACCATTTAGACCTTCCTGGTCACTGAACACATCCCAGAGATGACCAAGAGCAGAGAAGGAATAAAAAGAACAAAACCAAATAACTCCCAGATGCCTAAGCAAATCAAGAGAGCAGACCCTGAAAATTGTGGGCCAAAGATAAGTGCTTCCACCTCAAACCTTGGACTTTCCCAAGCATAGGAGATGCCCTGCTGGCTCTTCCTTCGTACAGTCATTTTGCAAAGCTGGCGTTTATGGCAGCATTTATGTGCTTCTGAAGTTGTGGTTCTCAACCTCTTAAAAACAATTTATAAGCTTCTCTCTGAGATTACTCAGGGAGGATGATTGGCTCTGACGAACACGCCCAGTGCCGTAGACACCTCCACAGCTGTCTGAGAGTGGCCCCATGCAGCTCTTGCTGGTCAGGAGAGTCGGGGGTCAGCCTCTGCACCCTCAGCTCTAGCCGCCCCATCAACAGCTTCCTGGTGGCTGCTCATCTCCCAGCTCTCCGGCAAGACCTAAAACTACCCTGTCCCAGGGCTTCTTGACTCAGCATTGCAGACACTGTGAGTTGAGCAGTCCTGAGTTGTTCGGGGCTATCCTGTACACCGTAAAGTTTCTGTGATATTTCTCACCTCTACCACCTGATGCCACTCTCTTAGAGAAGTGGTATCTATCACCCTATCTGTCCCCCCCCCTCCTGGCATGCCACTTGCCCTGGGTTTCTGGGTAAGAGGGAACTCACCCTAACTCCCTGCTCCCTTGACACAGGGAGCCCAAGTGGGAGGCCACAACAGAAGAACCAGGCTTTCCCAGGCTGACTGGGCCTGCTCATTCATTCATATAGTCGCCCATTCACTCAATAGGTGATGGGAACCTACGTTGCACCAAGCTTCTTCTAGGTGCTGGAGAGGGATGGTGAAAAGGATGAAGGTTCCGTATTCACAGAGCTGGCCTACTTCTTGGCCTAGTTATGAGGACCAAAATTGCCTAGAGACATTTTCTCCATCTCCTGGGAAAGGGAGGGTGGTGATGTCATCCCCATCTGACAACTGCAGGACCATGAGCACAGAGCCTGGGTGATCAGACCTCCCCTACACCCCCATTTTGTCTTCTGGGAAAACCATGGCAGAGTTTGCTTTCTCTGTTGGCCCACACAGGCAAACGGTTTAACCCACATAAATCCAATTTGCCTTGTTAACCACACAGCATTTATCATGCAAAATAGGCAAGACAGAGGCCTTCTCAAACTCTCTCCAGTTTTTCTAACATCAAACACGCACTATCCTAAGGAGCAGGAGACCTGGACTCTGGGCCTAGCTCTGCAACAATTCCCCAAATGAGCCCCATGCACTGTGAGCCTCTGCTGACCCATGAGAACAGAGGAAGGGCCTCACACATCCTGCAGTTAGCTGCCCACAAGCATTCCATGGAGACTAAGAGTTGGAGGCACATGGCTGTGGTTTATTCTCTGTCCCCCCACTGCCCCTGTCCCCATCACTCATCTACAAAATAAAGAGGAGTTTTAGAGGTTCAAACATGGCATGATGGAGGGAGCCATTATGGAATTTGGGAGAAACCTGGTGCTAGGGAAATTCCCAGGAACCCACAAGGATAACCCCAGATAAGACTCTTAGCAATAGTGGAGAGGGTGCCTGAACTGGCCTTCTCCTGTATTCAGATTGGTGACTACCCTAATTGTCATCCTAGAACCTTCATCCAGTAACTGATGGAAGCAGATGTGGAGATCCACAGCCAAGGACTGGGCCAAGCTCCTGGAGTCCAATCAAAGAGAGGGAGGAGGGATTACATGAGCAAGAGGGGTCCAGATCATGACGGAGAAACCCACAGAGACAGCTGACCTGAGCTTGTGGGAGCTCATAGTCTCTGAACCAACAGCTGGGGAGCCTGCATGGGACCAACCTAAACCCTCTGCATGTGGGTGACAGTTGTGTGGCTTGGTCTGTTTGTGGGGCCCCTGGCAGTGGAACCATGATCCATCCCTAGTGCATGAGCATGGCTTGTTGTAATGTGACCAAGGAGGAAATGAACTATCCCAGCAGGGATCTTTTTTTCCTCCTTCTCCAGACTTTGCTCAGACTATGTGGGCCACCACACTACCATGGAACCCCAAAGGTAGCAGAGAAATCAGATCAGACAGTAGCCCATGGGACAGCCAGGCCACCTACCAATGGACATCAATGAGGATAAGGTCACTCAGGATGGCCAGTGGCTGTCCCTCTTCAAGCAGTCTGCCAGCTCAGACTTCATTTTTCTGGTTTTCTCATATCTCTTGTTTTTACCTTGAGGTCCACACACAACTCCTAGAACATTCTCTACCATAAATGACACCTGAAAATTGGTTCCTTGTCCTGACATCTTCAGACCCCACCCAGGACCCCACCTACAGCTAATCCTCATCTCCTCCACACCACTGTGTAGCTTGATTTTTTCGCCTTGCCCACAGTCAGGACAAATCTCTGTC